AAGTTGAGATCAAATTAGGAACATACTAAGGCTGAGTTACTGTTTAATGCATTTTTGAACAACATTTTATCCCAATACGAAGATTTTTAGCCATGTGTGGTTGCTTTTCGATGAATATTCAATCTTGTCGTTAAATGAAGGCTGTTTCACTCACTTTATTGGCAAATAATGCCTGAACACCTCCCAAGAGCGAAATAGCTAGCAATCGCACTGCTTACACCCTATTAATTTAAGAACAAATTAAGGACAATCCACCCACGGAATTTTTGCGAAAATTAAGAACAGTCAGCCTGAACCTTAATTTACTAGATTTTATAAAAAAAATTAACGAATACAACATGCACCTAGCAGCATACCTCTACAACGCGTATAAATGCTTGATGACACTTAGCTACACCCAAGTTTCCTTTGAAAGATTATTCAGCGCTACTGATAATTTCAAAAGAAGAGAAAATTTTCCACTTGATTACGAGCAAGTCATTGGCCAATTTGCTGATTCATTTGCAGTTCTTCGAAAAGAGTTGAAACTCTGAGAATTTGAATAAGTTTTGATCTTGATTCTTAACTATACATGGGATTTTAAAGCCTGTTTACACGAGATAAAAAGGTATGGATCTAATTGGGTCCGAATTTACGAATTAAAGTCGATACACTGCTGCTGTTTAGCGTATTGCTTTATTATCAATTTTTATTGAATCAATCGTATTCTAAGCCACATTTTTAGTGGGTGTGGCTAGATGTTTCCCGCCACGCCCTAAACCGGCCCTTGAGTTTTCTAGCCAACCTGCAATTTTGACGCCGGACCGCCCCTGGTTTCGAAGCTGCTTATATCTTGGCCAAAGTGCTGCATCTCTCTCAGCCCGTCTCTTAATACGGTCTCTCTCGCACATCAAATTCTTGATACTTTGAGAAATCCATGGTATATGTGCAGGCCTCGTCTTAGCGGTCCTTTTTTAACGGCGCATGCACATCCAAGACAGCGAGAAAGAGATCGTAGAAATTGCTAGCCATCTTATTGGAGTCATCCGATCTACATGACATAGCCATCTCCCAGTCAATAATACGCAAGTCATTAAGGAAAGAGTCACGGTCATAATTTTTCAAACTGCGTGCCTCTGTCTTAAATATCACGTCATTGACATGAACTCTAGCGTTTAATTTTCTAGTACCGTATGTCATACAGTGGTCTGTAATACCGATTTTTACGACCGATACATTAGAGAGGTTGTTGGGTCTGTTTGAAGAAAGGTCATCTATTAACTAAAAAGTTTTATTAGGCTTTTTATCTTTATTTTAGTTAAGTTGAGCTTCTGCTAAATGTCCAGAGCATCATAGGGCAACTGATAAATTATTACTGAATGTTTCATCTTTGTCAAGATCAAATTACGAAATTTACAGCAATGCTGACATTTACAGGAGATGTTTTGTTTTTGGTTCTTGGAATTTCGATTTGTTTTAAGTTTTGATAAGAGAGTCTTTCCGATGTTTATACGAGAATTACAATACATGAACTCTATATCGAAGTGACGAGGAAAATTCACATTTTGTGAACAAAGCAGGAATCTGGGATAGCCGCAAAAAGACATTTTCACAAATCCCAAAATTCAGTACTGTACATTTTGGAAATCAATACTGTACGTTTTTAAATTAATACTGAACAAAGTGTGTAATACTGCACACTAAAATAGGCCCTGGAAAGAGCATTATCATTCAAGAAAGAAACATGCACAATTTACATAACAAAATATAGGCAATATTGGAAAAATCCTCTTCCTCCAAAATTATCATCTTTATTGATCATTATGACCGTCAAAACTTGTGTGAACCTCCTCCCTCCGTCTGTGATTAGGTAATATGTGAACGTTCCCAAACCCAACTGCCAACGCATCGATAATCTTATCCAGATACAACCATTCCGAATGGAAAGAGCATAGGATTGTACTCAGTTAATGCTTCTGAGTCTTGGGCGTTTTTGAAGATATCGGAAAACTGTTCAATAAATTGTACAATTATGAGGAGTTGGCAAAAAATCTGGTGGAAATTTGATACATCATTTATACAGTTTTTCTCAATTTAATGGTGAAGCTAAACTTAACTGTAAAATCTATGACGGCAAAACCATAACCACGGCGAACTTTTTATGCAAACGTTCTTTCGAGAGGTCAATTGATGGTTGTAATCAATTTTAGTTCTGTGCGAATATTAATAATTGCCTTTCGAAAGTTTTCAAGTTTTTTAAAAAATATAACTTGAAGCAAGGGCGTACTGGAAAATTCCGAATTGTCCTGGTGGGCCAAGGAGCGATGGGTGGAGAAAAACTGTGGATAATTATTCGCAGGTAGAAAGGCCAAAATTTGGTGTATCCTACAGAGCAGTGAGAGATCGCTTCCAGAATATTTTCACCAACAAAAAGTCCAAAAATGGAAGAGAAGAAAATGCAAGTGGAATTAACCCTGAGCACACAGAAAACATGTTCTTCTTGCAAGATAAGGGAACTTTTTGATGCAGCAATTGTTGATCAGCAAGCAGCATCCCAGCAAGTAAAAGAAAATCAGCAGAAATGAAAAAGCTGAAGAAATGAGAAGGAAATCAGTAAAAACAATGGGAGAAAGCAGGAAGAGAAAGGAAGGGGATGTAAAAAATGTAAGTAAACAGAGACGTAACGCTCGGCAGAAAACCTTTCAAAATTATTCAAGAAAGAATCAGAGTTGACAGTTGACTCAATCCGGGCTGACTCACAATTGCGTTTGGAAACCAAATTAAGACCCACTTTCCGTTTGGAATACAAATTGAAGAGAGTTTACCCTGGGTGAACCTAACACAGTTTGAGCCCGGGTAGTTTTTTGTAGTGTAAACCAGGGTTCGATTGGAAATAATTTTACTTGCTTTCATTATTAAGCGTCGGATGAAGAGGTCAAGTGAATTTTGTTCCACTTTTCGAGACGTGACATGCTCAATGTATTCTAAACAACAGGTTACACCATTCAATCTTTTCCCCTCTTGTGTACAGTTAAATTTTAGCTGTAAGTCAGCGCTGTGAGTTATTTTTCTTCGATCGCAGAAGCTGCCTAAAAAATTCAACATATCTTTGAAACGCGCTGAGATTTGTAAGAGTTATTAGTTTCTAAAGACTAAACAATGAAGCAACGATTATCGTAGAGAAATCAGTTTTGTTGATTTTCTTGGTTACTTAGATAAAACATGAATCAAATCTATGAACGAAAATTTGCATAAAAAGAAGCATAAATAAAGGATATTCCTGGGACTTTGTAGTCTGGAGAAATCCTGAATTAGGCAGGCATAAGAAGGTACCTTTCAGAGTTGTTTTAATATTCGCAAATTTTTAAAAATATATTTTTCACAACATATAATTATCTGTAAAATGAAACACAGGGATGCAGGGGGCCTAAAAATCCTTAAATTATAGGTGATATCATTTATGTATGACCCTGTCATCAATATCAAATTTTGACGCCAGACCGCCCCTGGTTTCGAAGCTGCTTATATCTTGGCCAAAGTGCTGCATCTCTCTCAGCCCGTCTCTTAATACGGTCTCTCTCCCACATCAAATTCTTGATACTTTGAGAAATCCATGGTCACTGTCTACACTAGGCATACTGGAAAAACCAGACCCTATGATCCTAGGACCCCTATGACCTACTACATGATTTGCGGCTCCCCCAGAGCCATGCTTTTTAACTCATGACGCACACACCAATCCTAACGGACTAATGACAAAAAACACCATCGACGCAAGTATCGAAAATCACTTAAAGTAACTGACCAGACAAGAGAAGGAAAAACATTTCATCATAGTACTGTGCATGAGATAACGGAGTTTATCAGACCAGGGTTTAGGGGGCCTTTAGAAGGAAGGGAGAATGAAATAAATGGACAATGTTGGCAGAGCAGGGTGCAGCTGCAGAGCACTAGAATTCATGGCAAAAAAGTAGTCAAAATATTAAAAGACGTTTACAAAACCCCAAATCAAAAGTATTCTATTAAAAAGTTCCCCGAAGTTCCGCACTTCTTTAACTTCCCCGCCCATACAGCACACACTGCACTTCTTTAACTTCCCCGCCCATACAGCACACACTGCACGGGTTAATTGCCACGAGGTGAATTTCGCAGCCAAATCGCTGGTGAAGATATCGAGGGGGGGGGGGGGGGGCACAGTTTTGATTTTTGACTTCGAAAAGAGTTCTAATTTCACCGCTGCGAAATATTTCGCAATAGGCGCCTAAAAATGTTTATTTTTGGGCAAAAAAACAATATAATTTTGCAGTCTGGTGGAAATCAAAAGTGACTTTTGTAACAAACTCGTAGCGAATTCGGTGCAAAATTCACCTCCTGGCTCTGGGGGAGCCACAAGTCATGTAGTAGTTATGGGTTCTTTTTGGTTCTTCGTAGTTAATGGTCCTAAGGGTCATAGGAGTCCTAGGATCATAGGGTCTGGTTTTTCCAGTATGCCGCCTACACTATACTTTCAAACTTTGTTTCAGTCTGGGTAGGGGGTAAAGTGTACCCATGCATTATTTTCTGTAATCTGAACACAAAGTTACCTAGCCAAGGTTGACTGTGCCAAGGTTGACTGTGCCAAGGCTGACTGTGCCAAGGCTGACTGTGCCAAGGCTGACTGTGCCAAGGCTGACTGTGCCAAGGCTGACTGTGCCAAGGCTGACTGTGCCAAGGCTGACTGTGCCAAGGCTGACTGTGCCAAGGCTGACTGTGCCAAGGCTGACTGTGCCAAGGCTGACTGTGCCAAGGCTGACTGTGCCAAGGCTGACTGTGCCAAGGCTGACTGTGCCAAGGCTGACTCTGCCAAGGCTGACTGTGCCAAGGCTGACTGTGCCAAGGCTGACTGTGCCAAGGCTGACTGTGCCAAGGCTGACTGTGCCAAGGCTGACTGTGCCAAGGCTGACTGTGCCAAGGCTGACTCGGCCCGGGCTGACTCGGCCCGGGCTGATTCGGCCCGGGCTGACTCGGCCCGGGCTGACTCGGCCCGGGCTGACTCGGCCTGGGCTGACTCGGCCCGGGCTGACTCGGCCCGGGCTGACTCGGCCCGGGCTGACTCGGCCCGGGCTGACTCGGCCCGGGCTGACTCGGCCCGGGCTGACTCGGCCCGGGCTGACACGGCCCGGGCTGACTCGGCCCGG